TCTCACTTGTGTTATCCAGAAGCGGCCCTGTCCTCGATCTCACTCCTATAAGTGCACGAGCGCCAACCCTCTGCATTATGGGTGGTCGGCAGTGGCTCCTTAGTGACGCTCTCTCTCTCTTACGTGTACACGGGTGTCGCCCACTCCGCGCTATAGAGCTTGGGCTAGTCAGGGCTGGTGACGTGATATAGAACCAACTGGAAGGAAGTTACTTATATTTAAAATATGATCACTTCAAACAAACATAATGTTTATCTACTCTACTCTGTTTTATTCATCGTCGAGTTCATTTATTTTTTTTACATCATGTACTATCCATTCTACATATTTGTATTACAGGATCATCGCCCAGGTGGTCGGACCACCTAGTACTCGGACTTCTCCACCGATTAACTGGTCGGACCGCTAGGTTTATGGACTTCGTCGCCGACCAGTTGATCGGACTGTTCGCCGGTCACTTCTACTCAATGCTCACTTCGCCGCCGACCAGTTGGCCGGACTATTCGTCGCTCGTGCTTTATCATCAGCTATGCTGGGGACTCATCGGCGTTCGGTTTCTTCGCACAAGCATCGCCAGCTAAGCTGGGGACTCCTCGGCGTTTGAATTCTTCGTACAAGCATCGCCAGCTAAGCTGGGGACTCCTCGGTGTTCAGATTCTTCGTGAAAGAGTCGCCAGTTAAGCTAGGCACTCCCTTGGTGGTCAGATCTTACTACGTCTCATTGGTGTGCTATCAAGTTGCTCCATGTTGTTCGGTCAGGGTGCTGGTGCTGATCTTGAGCATCATGTCTAGGGTCTTGATATGCACATGTCAGATGACGTCGGCAAGCTTTCAGACTTATTTTCTTTGACCCTACTATAAGATTCATTCTTCATCTTCATCTTCCAGCAGGCTCGGGGACTAAGTGGCTACACTTCACCTGACGGTGAATGTAGTGCTTATTTCTTGATTTACCCTCCATATTGACGGAGTCTAAGTGGCTACACTTCTTCTAAGGGGAAGAATTTTCAAATTTTATCTTGAGCCCCATACATCCTTCTGCAAGCCTTACTTGGCTAAGTCCAAGGTCTCCTAACCAGTTACACTGGTCGGCGTTGACTTTCACCACCTAGGTCACCAGTTAAACTGGCCGGCTTCGACTTCCACGGCTCGGATCACCAGTTAAACTGGTCGGCTTCACGTCAAGCTGGTCGGACTTGTTCCAGACGGCGCTGCTTAAAGGATACAAGTCAAGATGGCAACGGGTACGTACCCGATGGGTACTGGCCACCCGTACCCGCACCCGCCAGATCAAAATCTTACCCGTCGGGTTACCCGTACCCGCAGCGGGTAGAAAATTCATTCCATACCCACACCCGACGGGTAATTCTTACCCGACAATATACCCGAGTTCACACACCAAAATATAATAGCTTCCAGCAAAACAAATCAATAATAGAGCAGCAAAACAAAAATATGGGCTAGTGGAGTGGAGTGAGGATGAGGATTAGGGTTTGAGGGGTTCTGGAATATATATACTCATGCTTATATGGGCCAAATATGGGCTATATGCTTATATGGGCTAAAATTGCAGGGGTTGGATATTATTTATGCGGGTTTTTTTTACCGCGGGTATGCGGGTATGGGTAGTATACATCCACACCCGTACCCGCATACCCGATGGATACAAGAATTTGTCCAATAACGTACCCGCGGGTGCAAAATATCTTCCATACCCGCCTCCTTATCGGGTAAAACCCGTCGGGTACTCGGGTTTCGGATACCCGTTGCCATCTTGAGATACAAGGCGCTCGGGGACTAGCTGTGGGGGGTATAACCCCAGGTACCCATGGCAATGGACATGGGCCACACCACCAGGGGAGGTCCAGCTCATAAGATCATGGCCTACGGTGCTCGGCTCTGGTCGACGTGCACCGCAAGGCAATCAGAAGAATCTTGAAGATAGAGAAGGATCTGTTCGGATATGATAGATATCGTATTCCTTATAAATACTTATCATATAGCCGAATAGATCTAGATTTAACTAACTTGTAACCCTGCTCCCCAGACTATATAAGGCGGACAGGACCCCCCTCGAATTCATCTCATAGCCAATACAAATTAACAGATCACAGGAGTAGGGTATTACGTCGTGCAGACGGCCCAAACCTGTCTAACTCTTGTGTCTCTGTTGCCTTCTTGTTCTTGATTACGCGAACCTCTACCGATCAATCTACCTTCGTTGGATACCCCTCGGAGGACTGCCGACGATATTCTGTCGATAATATGTGTCTCCTAAAATCAAATTTTATACTAATGGATAGTGGATACTATGTCTTTTGCCTATCTAACTTAATTTAAACGCTTACACACTTCACTTACCTATGCCATGTTTAGCTTTGCATCTACCAAATCTGGTATTTAGATAAGTCTTATTAGTACTATTTAGGGGTGAAACGGTAGGGGAAAATCCCCATTCTGTTTCGATTTCTATATTTAACCTACTCAAATTCTTATTGGCAGTCATTCTGAGCGTTTCGTTTTTTCTGTTTTTGGTAAATCTGAAAATGGGTGGAAACAATATGGTTGTTTTATCAATTGTTTTCTCTTTTTTCTATTTTTTGTCGAAATACCCCGCTTTTGTCCGCATAGGATATCCTGCTTTAGGAAGTACAATAATGCAACACAGTCATCTATACCACATCGTAGTAGCCTTGTCATCTTATAGTTTTGCACTCATATACTCATGTCATCTTATGAATCTTACGGCATGCGTTATATTTATTTATGTGTTGGCAGTATTGTCATGCCATGTCGGTAGGTCACTATGTGAAGTCTTGTTTCTTGGTTATGTGTGTTGACGGTACCCGTTTTGTCTGTCCATATCCCGACTGTTACTGACACGTTTCCATTTGAATTGATTTGTTTTCAATTTCTAGTGAATCCCGTTTTCGTTCCCGTTTCTAGCCTTCCGGATTTCAATTTTGTTTCCATATTAAAATGTAAAAGTGAAAATGAAAGAGGGTTTATCTCGACCAGACATGTTTGTTTTCATCCCTAGTGTTACTGCACTTTTGGTGTTGGAGTTAAGTTGTTTTGCAGGTATCTATATATGACACACAATTGGCCATGCTATCCCATTGGAGCGGACAAAGCATTGACTGGTTGGAGCCCTAATCGAGTTTATGGTGGTGATGCCTTAAGAACAATGACACTCGCGCTATTATTATGTCTAGCATTATTGCTCCACATAATAGTGTTTTAACTGCGAGAACATGTACGATATTCATTTAGCTTGTAAATTCATTTTGGAGATCAGCAGTGTTGGCCAAGGCTTTCCCTCCTATATGTATCCTTGTAACGTAGTCCGTATGTGAGTATGGCATAATGTGCAAATGGCATGTGTGTGGATGTGGGTGATATTTAGAATGCATATCGGTGACTATTCGCTTTAATCTTGTTTGGTCACCGGGTATGATCTGGTTTAATTGAATAAGTCTGTCTACACAGCAATTGAGTGTTTTCAAGCGTTTGGACACTCTTTGTTCTGACCGTTGGATGAAGATCAAACATTCCATCTCTTTTCTTCTACCTTTGGTCCATGGGCGAGACCCTACCGTGTCCACGGCGACCTCCTTCTTCCCCTCCCCCACTGCCGTCATGGCCATCAACGCCGGCCCCAACCTGGCTCGGGCGCCTCCTCTGCCGCCCGCTCTTGCGACGTCACCGCCGCCACCATCTCTCCCGTTCCCACCGTCTGCCCTATTTGCCTCCTAAAAACCTTTTCTAGGCCCGTCGGAGTTGGAGGAGAAAGGGAGGGAGAGGAAGAGAAGAGAAAGAAACAATCGAGTGTTGGATTGCTCCAATACTTGAGTGGCGTATAGCATTTTTGGATTGATTCGATGATGAGTATCATCTTAGTCAAAATAATTTGGGCGGTTCTGGTTACGTAAATTAAACTACTATTCTCATTGGGTAACAACGCATCATTTTTTGAAGTACTAAAAGTCAACTCCAGCTTCAGTTATGTAGAATCCAGGTAACTAAAGCTCTTATGTATTACACCTCCTATTAGACGACACCCTTTTTCTCAGGTTCACGTCATGTATGCAGCCTTCTAGAGTGATCTAAGAAATGTTTCCTCCCACTTTTTAGGCGTTATGTAGCCTCCTATCCCATCAAAACTATAGCGATTCAAGAAATGTTCACTCCCAGTTTTAAGTACGTAGTGATATGGAATTAAGTTGTAGTTTGGCTGGATTGGTTTCTTTACTGTGGAAGTTGTCCATTAGACTAAAATCTTCGACTTAATATGAGTGCTTGTAATTTTGTAATCTGTTCTAGCATATATTGGCTGGCGCTATGTCGGTTGATAGCGAGAATGTCTCTGATAGCTTTTTTTAATTTCGAGTTATACTAGCTCTGTCATTTAGAGGTTATTATATGGTATGGTTTGTGCATACATATATGTGAGCGTTGCACTTGTATTGTGTTTTGCAGAAATAAGTAGTGTAGCTGAGGTGTGAAGCCTCCTCTCAACACACTAGAGAGATCGAAGAATATTCTCTTAATAATATGTGAGCGTTGCACCTGTATTTTGTTGTGAAGAAGAAGAAAAGGTAGTGTAGCTAAGGTGTGAAGCCTCTTATCAAAACTCTAGAGAGACAGAAGAAATATTCTCTATATTATTATACACCTTCTGTTACACGTCTGGTCCCGTTTTTTCTCAGGTTCACGCCATGCATAGTTTTGTAGTTTGGTCGGCGTCCTAAAATGTGGCGTACAAATTAGATCATTTATGCATGGATTCTCACGCTTACACACGTCGTGTATGTACGTGCATGTGTATTTAGCCGCCTCGATTATTGCAACTCGAAAAGCAGGAGCCTGGAGCAAGGCGTATGTACACGTAGCGTGCGGCCATTGTTACATGCGCACGCCGTTGTTTCTTTGAAAGGGTCGGACGGCAAGGTCTGCTTTACATCGATTCATCAATGGTGCGCAAGTGGAAGGCCGCCGCCATGGGCGGCGGGGGAGACTACCACCACCAGCCACGGCATTGTGTGGCGCTGTCGCTGTTCATCCTGGTCTCGGCCACGCTGGCGTTACTTGCGTACGTCGCCTGCTCTCCGGTCCCGGGTGGCGCCGCCGCCGGTGGACTATACCAGTGGTGGAGGTGGCAGGGTTCCGCTGGCACGTCGTCCGCCGAGCTCATCCGGACCCACGTCGACGACGGCGCTAGGTCAGGCGTCGCTCGCACGCCGACGTCCCTGTCGCACATCGTGTTTGGCATCGGCGGCGCGGCTCGGACGTGGGGCCACCGTCGCGGGTACGTGGAGCTGTGGTGGCGGCCCGGGCAGACGCGCGGCCACGTCTGGCTCGACGAGGAGCCGGCGAGCCCGTGGCCAGCGGCCACGAGCCCGCCGTACCGCGTCTCGGCGGACGCGTCCCGGTTCGGGCGCCGGGCGTCGGCGTCGCGGATGGCGAGGATCGTCGCGGACTCCTTCGCGGCCGTCGTGACCGCGGCGAACGGCACAGTAGGGGAGGACGGCGGCGGCGAGGTGCGGTGGTTCGTGATGGGCGACGACGACACGGTGTTCTTCCCGGACAACCTGGTGACGGTGCTCCGCAAGTACGACCACGAGGAGATGTACTACGTCGGGGCGCCGTCGGAGAGCGTGGCGCAGGACGCGGCGCACTCGTACGGCATGGCGTTCGGCGGCGGCGGGTTCGCGGTGAGCTACCCGGCAGCGGCGGAGCTCGCCAAGGCCTTCGACCGCGTCGACGGCGGCTGTCTCGACCGGTACAGGGACTTGTTCGGCAGCGACGAGCGCGTACATGCCTGCCTCAGCGAGCTCGGCATCCCGCTCACCCGCGAGCCGGGCTTCCACCAGCTGGATTTCCGCGGCGACGCGTATGGGTTCCTGGCGGCCCACCCGGTGGCGCCGCTGGTGTCGCTGCACCACCTGGACCTGATCCAGCCCATCAGCCCGCACGGGGGGACCTCGCTGGACGCCGTGCGGTCGCTGGTCGACGCAGCCCGGCACGACCCGGCCCGAACGCTGCAGCAGACCTTCTGCTACCACCACGACGACGGCGGCCGAACCTGGTCCGTCTCGGTCGCGTGGGGCTACACCGCGCAGGTGTACTCGTGGGCCGTTCCGGCCCACGAGCTGGAGGTCCCGCTGCAGACGTTCGAGTCCCTGAGGAAGACGACGGCCGACGGGCTGTTCGTGTTCAACACCCGGCCCTGGAGGCCTGCAGACAGCGCGTGCGCCCGGCCCTTGACCTTCTTCCTCAGCCGCGTCCGGAACGAGACGGCGGCGGCGGCGGCCACCGTGACGGAGTACACGAGGCACGCCGTCGGGAAGCCGCCGGAGAAGGAGTGCGACATGCCTGGCTTCCGTTCGGCTACTGCTGTTCGGACGGTCAGGGTCCTAGCGCCCAAGATGGACCCTAGAGACTGGCACCGGGTAATTGACTAACCAACGCATCATCGGCTCGATCGTTTCTCTCATCTCGGATTCTGCAGGAATTGAGCGCTCCAAGCATGTTTTCAGGCACCACGGCGGCATTGCTGCGAGACCGAGAGGGATGGGCCGGGCACGGTTCTGGAGGTGCGGATACGGCGGTGCGCCGCCGGCAGAGGAGAGCTCGCCGTGGCCACGCCGTAGATCCATCCATTTTGTCGCGGCACCGAGATCGAGCGACGTAAGTGACACTCTATCTGATCTTGATGCTGACTGCCACGGTGAGTGATGATGGATGATTGTCATCAGAGCGATAATGTTCCTAATACAGGTTCTTTGTTCATTGCAGAGGCGGTGCGGTTCTCATCTTCTCCAAACCGGCAATACTATTCCAAATAACATGGCCGTGTCGATTGCATATACGGAGTATTTACTAATAGCATAATGTCATTTTTAGTACAAGTTATAAATTTTCTGTTGGTCTAAATCATCATTGTAAATCTACCTTTACAACAGGCACAGTTGATTGCATTTTTACCATTAAAGGCTTGTTTGATGTCCATATATTTACCTCAAATGCACATATGTTGATGTCTTGTTTGGATGCACGTGTATCCACTTCAATCCACATGTGTTGGAGTGGATTGGAATAGAACTTAGTTTAATTCCACTCCAATACACTACAAAACATGTGGGTTGAGATGAATACATGTACATTCAAACAAGGCTCGAGGTGAAAAAAATATCTAGATACATCTCAACACCTGTGGATTGATATAAATACATGGGCATCCAAACAAGCCCTAAATTGTGTTGAAAACCCACATGCTTAAACTAGATAAAGGTATCAGTGCAGTAGTTGCGGGCATTTTTTGGGCACTGCCCCTAAAAACGGTGAGGCAAGATTCACATAAATGCTCGTTTATGCTGATCATGCATTTGCATATATGAGCATACTAAGGTGGCCACCTCTGTTAATCGTCGTTCTATAGGGGCGGCACTCTTAAAACGGCCATCTCTAGAAATAGTTGTCACAAGAACAACCCATAGCTTTTCATATCAAGTTGGATGGAGATGAATGTTATACCAAAATTGTTGATCACAATGTGACCTATAACTTTGTAGTTGACAATTGTTTTATTTGAAATTTTCGGTCCAAAAATCATTTTAAATCCTTAGATTTTGTAATTTAAAATCTACAATTTTTAAACAAACCTCTGATATTAACATAGTCTACACCATTGTATTTCACAATGCAATCTATAACTTTGTAATCGACAAGATTTTTATTTGAAATTATTTGAAGCACCAAATATGTGTTTTAAACTCTTAGACTTTGAAATTTAAATATGAGAATATCCAAACAACATCAAATGTTGACATGATCAATGTGAAAGTTGTAACGAGCTTGGCAAGTGTTTTAATGTGAAGTCCTTGACAAGTGGGGGCAAATATGTAAAACACCTTTCAATCAGCAATAATATTTGTGCTTGATACATCCTCTTCCTTTCTGGCATACATTGAGCTTCAAATTTCGAGTTAGGGCTAGAGGGTTGAGGTTTGGCAATTTTTGGACCAACATTTGGTGTCAATTTTCATCATATAGAATCTATCCAACTGAGTTACTCTTAGCTTGCGAATGATTCCCACATGGACCAACAGATATACAAATTCTCTGTGTTGAAAACAAAATAATGGAACGAATGAAATTATATGTATTAGTGTTTTTAGTCACTGTTTTAAAGGAACATACACTTTTGGTTTGTTTGGGTATACTTGTATCCATCTGTTAATGACCCATCTGCTACGTCTACATCAGAAGAGGCAGCCCAAGTACCTCGGGCTAGATCACGCACTCGCCGGCCCAACATTCGTCTCGCTGGCGCTGAGTGGATGTGAGCGTGCCTGTGTGTACCTATGGGCGAAAGCCGTGTAAGCATATAAGCTACCAGAGAGAGAGAGAGGGGGGGATCATCACGAATTATGTAATCAAACTCTAAACTCTCAAGCACTCATCCTTCCTAGCCTATCCTTCCTGCCTATTTGCTATGTTGTTCGTCTGATTCCCTTCCCAATTGCTTCTATCCCTTGCCTACTGCTAACAATTGGTATCAGAGACACCGATTTTGGGTTATCCTCATCGATCCACTCTTACTCCATCGGTTTATTTGAGCAACTGATCCGGTTGGCTCGATCTCGTCTCTAGCAGTGAGCTGCTGCTAGGGATTTGGTCGCCGTAATTTCCTTCTCCGCTCGAATCGACTTGTGGTTGTGGTCGATCTGGATCGTCCCCAACCTTTAGCCCACGACCACTTCACCCGACCACAACACCGCCTGGGAATCATGAACCCAAAGACGAAGATCATCCTCGACGAGATCAACCGCCGCTTCAACGAGCATGACCAGAAGTGGGATTCATGTTTCACGGATCAGGATGCGCGCCTTTCTCGCCAGATCCGTGACCTGGAGCAGGCGCAGGAGGGACGCATGGTGGCTCCAGAGAAGGTCACCGCGTCGCTCGATGAGTGGTGGCCGTCGATTGAAGGCATCATCGATGACATGAAGCTCACATGTGGGTTAGGGTCACTAAAATGCATTTCACACACGCTGCTAAGCGTTGGTATCGTTCTATTGAGTCCCAGCTCCAAACCACCAACTGGCCTACATTTACCCGCTTGATCCTTGATCGTTTTGGCCAGAATGAGCATGAGCTTTTGCTTAGACAACTTTTCCAAATCCGTTAAACTAATTCTGTTCAGGAGTATATAGACCAATTCATTGCTATTGTAGATGACTTATCAGCTTATGGTGGTACCACATACCCTCTCTACTATGCTATGAGATTCGTTGATGGTTTGAAAGACTATATTAGAGCCGTAGTAGCTTTGTAGTGTCCCCAAAATCTAGATACTGCTTGCATCCTTGCTAAATTGCAAGAGGAGGTCGTTGACCCTACCAAGAAGAGGGGCTTCAGGCGTGTGGAACACCTAGTGGGACCCCGACCGTATGCTCCGTGGGTGCTTCCTCTACCTCCTCCACCTCCCCGTCTTGCTCTACCGGCCACCGAGGTGAAGCTGGTTGCGGATGCTGGGCGTGGACCTACTCTGGATGAACGCTGGTCCGCCCTTTGCGTGACCCGGCATGCTCAAGGCCTATGTATGAGGTGTGGTGGAAAATGGGGTCGCGATCATCAGTGCCCTAATGCAGTTCAACTACATGTCATTCAAGAGCTGCTGGATGTTTTTCGTGAAGCACATGTTGTCGAAGCTAAGGATTTAGTTCAGGAAACATAACAGGAGCAGTTGTTTCTATCATTATCAGTGACAGCGATAACTGGAACTGTTCAACCGTGAACCATGTGTTTCTGGGGCCTCATTGGAGATCAACATGTTAAAATTCTGCTTGATTCGGGTAGTTCCAATACTTTCATCAGCTCGGTTATTGCTTCTGGCTGTCCAACTCTGCAACAGTTGCCTGTTCCCTTGAAAGTACAGGTAGCTAATGGTCAGGTGATAACTTGTTCTTCGCACATTCTTGATCCCAGTTGGTCTATATAGGGCTGTCAGTTTTCCTCAAATTTGAAGGTACTTCCATTATCCTCTTATGACATGATCTTGGGTCTTAATTGGCTTGAAGCCCATAGTCCGATGGAAGTCCATTGGGGTTAGAAGTGGATTCAGCTCCAACATTAGGGCACTACTGTTCATTTAGTGGGTATTCTATCAGATTTAACAGATGGAGCAGTCTTACAGTTATGTTCTACTGAACCTCAGCAGTCTTCTGATACTATTGCTTACCTTGTCGAAGTTCAGCAATTGATCCAAACTTACTCTGGGTTGTTTGATCCGCCAAATCAGTTGTCTCCTTCTCGCAATTGTGATCACTCAATTCCATTGGTTCCTGGAGCAGCTCCTGTCTATTCTCGTCCTTACCGTTTCTCCCCAGCTATCAAGGATGAGGTGGAGAAACAAGTCAAAGAAATGTTGGCATCAGGTATCATTCAAAAGAGCACCAGCCCATTCTCATCTGCAGTATTGTTGGTCAGAAAAAAGGACAATACATGGAGGTTCTGTGTCGATTACCGGCAGTTGAATGCTATCACCGTTAAAGGCAAATATCCAGTACCCATAATTGATGAGCTTCTAGATGAGTTGGCTGGAGCTTTTTGGTTTTCCAAACTCAATTTGTGCTCTGGTTTTTCACCAGATTCGGTTGAAGCCCGGTGAGGAGTTCAAAACCATATTTCAAACCCATTTTGGACAGTTTGAGTTCAGAGTCATTTGGCTTCACAGGAGCGCCTGGAACATTTCAAGATGCCATGAATTCGACTCTGGCTCCTTTTTCCATAAATTTGTATTGGTCTTCTTCGATGATATCCTGATATTCAGTTCATCCTATGAGGAACATCTTCACCACCTACAATTGGTCTTTCAGCAGCTTCAAGATCATGATTGGAAGATTAAACTTTCTAAATGTGAGTTCGCTAAGCAAAGTATTGCATATCTCGGCCATGTCATTACTCTAGTAGGTGTTACAACTGATCCTTAGAAAGTAGCGGCTATGGTCAATTGGCTTACTCCCCAGTCAGTAAAGGATTTGCGCAGCTTTCTGGGTTTAGCAGAGTATTACAGAAAATTTGTCCGCAATTTTGGTATCCTCGCAAAACCGTTGACCGAGCTGCTGAAAAAGAACACCTTGTTCATCTGGACTACTTCCCACGACCAATCATTCCAAGCACTGAAGCAAGCCCTGAGTTCTTCACCAGTCCTTGCCTTGCCCGACTTCTCCAAGCCATTTAGCATTGAGATGGATGCTAGTGCCAGTGGTATTGGCGCTGTTCTTACTCAGGAGGGCCACCCATTGGCGTTTCTCAGCAAAGCATTGGGACCCCGTTCTCATGGGCTGAGTACTTACGAGAAGGAATACATGGTGGTTTTGATGGCCGTACCGCAGTGGCGCTCTTATCTACAACATGCTGAATTCACCATTTTTACTGATCAGCAGAGCCTTGTGCAACTTACTGACCAGCGTCTTCATACAACGTGGCAACAAAAACTCTTTTCTAAGCTCGTTGGTCTACAATTTCGCATTGTATACAAGCCAGGTACTGCAAACAAAGTAGCTGATGCCTTGTCTCGTAAGAGCTTTCATGATTCAGCCTATGCTGCTATTTCTGTGGTTGCTCCTACCTAGATACAAGAGGTGGTGTCGGGGTATGCTGCTGATCCTACATCATCAGAGATGATAGCGAAGCTTACCATTGATTCAGCAGCTGTGCCAGGCTTCTCTCTACGGGATGGTGTCCTCCGTCAGGGTCCATGTATTTGGATTGGGGACAACAAAGTACTTAAGTAGAAAATTCTCCATGCCATCCATTCAAGCGCCTTGGGCGGTCATTTTGGATTTCCGGCAACGTATACTCGGTTGAAACAACTCTTCTAGTGGCGTGGCAAGAAATCTGCTACCCGAGCCTTCGTTCAAGCTTGTGTTACTTGTCAACAGGCTAAGCCCGATCGTACTCATTTGCCCGGTCTCCTTCAACCTCTGCCAGTACCTGACGCTGCTTGGCAAACTATATGTATGGATTTCATTGAGGGGCTGCCCCGCTCTGGTAATGTTAACTGCATTCTCATTGTGGTCGATTCATTCACAAAGTATGGCCACTTCTTGCCAAGTTTAGCTGCCATCCACCTGGTGTTTCATGTTTTGCAATTGAAAGATGCGGTTCTTCCTCATGTCCAGGTATCTCCATCTTTACCAGCTGACATTGAGTTGCCTCGAGTTCCTATGGAAGTGTTGCAGCGTCGTGTAATTCCTACTGCTAATGGCTCGGTGGAGCAAGGCCTGATCCTATGGTCTGGTTGGCTGTCTGACATGGTGACCTGGGAGAACCTGCTTCAGCTTCGTCAAGCCTTCCCAAGAGCTCCTGCTTGGGAACAGGTTCAAAAGGACCGAGGGGTGTTAACGGCCCATCTGCTACGTCTATATCAGAAGAGGCGGCCCAAGTACCTCAGGCTGGATCACGCTTTTCGCCGCCCAACATCTGTCTCTTTGGTATTTGAGTGGATGTGAGCGTGCTGTGCAGCACTGGTGGCGAAAGCTGTGTAAGCATATAAGCTACCAGAGAGAGAGAGAGGGGGGAATCATCACGAATTAAGTAATCAAACTCTAAACTCTCAAGCACTCATCCTTCCTAGCCTATCCTTGCTGCCTATTTGCTATGCTGTTCGTCTGATTCCCTTCCCAATTGCTTCTATCCCTTGCCTACTGCTAACACCGTCTTGATCCATGTGTTTAGAGTGGATTGAGATGAAATTTAAACTAAGTTTCACTACAATAACTTCAGAACACAGATGGGTACAAGTGCATCTAAACAAGATGTTACATACGGGGAGGGTGTTATAATCAAGTAAAGTAACACTTCATCACCTCTAAATAAATTAATTTATATCACTAAATTTATAAATAAAGTATCAATATTTTTAGCACCACATATAGGTCCCGTTCGGCTTACCCTATATTCAGCTTGTTCGACTTGTTTTTTCAGCTGGAACAGTGTTCTTCTCTCACAATAATTTAGTCAGAACCGTGTTTTTCAGCCAGCTAAGTTTTAGACCAGCGAACGGGGCCATAAGCGTCTACTCTGTTGTCGCTCCTTGATTTAGTGATATAAATTAATTTGCGGTGATATAAATATTTGCGGTGATGCATCTGGAGCGGACACTTGACTCTGTTGTCGCTCCTTGAGTCGGGAGTGGATCCTGGCCAGTGTCTCCCGGAACCTGCCGAGGTCCAGGCTCACGTTCTGCCCGCGCAGGTACACGTGCTCCACAAGCTCCCACTCCTGCTTCCCCTGCTCCCGCCTCGCCCGCGCCGGGTCGGCCACGACGACGTGCCCAGCCGGGTACTTGCGGCTCAGCGAGCTCTCGCGCGCGCTCACGTCGTACTGCTCGTAGTGCAGCCCCATCCTGGCCGCCGGCACGCCGAAGAGGTTGCGCGAGAGCATGGTGATCCCCAGCGGCGCGATCTGCGCCAGCGCCGCGCGGCCGCCGGGGCGCAGGAACAGGAACGCGGTCAGGTCGGCGCCGTGCACGCCCACCAGCGCGTCGTACGAGCTCACCGACGCGTAAACCGCCGAGAGCGGCACCCCGGTGGCCGTCTCCATGACCTCCACGTCGAACCCGACCGACGCCGCCAGCCGTGCCACGGCCGCCTGGTTCTCGATCACGCGCCTCCCCTTGCGCGACACGATCCCGAGCCGTGGCCGCCGCTCCCGCGGCGGCGTCTCCTCAGTCCTGCTTCTGCCGCTGCTGTCGTCGTCGTACACGCCGGCGAGGAAGTCGTGGAAGTCGACGATGGTCCTGTTGTCCCGGAGCCTGGTGGAGTTGACGGCGAGGTAGTCGTGGTAGCGCGTCCCCACGACGGCGCCCGGGAAGCAGTGCGTCCTCTTGTCCCTGAGCAGGTCGATGACGTGGTACCTTGACAGGCCGGAGAGGATCTCGCCGTAGGTGCCAGCCCACCGCGGGCTGTACGAGAGCACGGCGAGCACGACGCGGCGGCGGAGGTGCTGCGCCGTCAGCCACAGCGGCAGGAACCCGTCGTTGAAGACGTGGAACATGTTGTGGCTGTACCCGCCCGCCGTCACGACGAGGACCGGCGCGTCGTGCCGGACGTCGCACCGGTGCGCCGCCGCCTCCTCCGGCCGGGCCACCCGGCGGAGCCTGACCTCGTGGATGGTCTTGGTGATGTAGGCGTCCCACTTGCGCGTGTAGGGCCGTATCCGCTCCTCCGTCACGGCCGCGGCCGCGGGCTCCGGCGCTGACGACGATGCTCCTCGCGGCGGCGGGAACAGCAGGAGGGACAGGGACGCGGCGTCCGTGCGCACGTCTCCGGCCATGAAGCAGACGTCGGAGTGGTAGTCGGAGCGGTCGCAGCAGATGGTGTGGTTGGGCAGGGACGCGCACGGCGAGCCCACCTGGTTGTCAAGAACCACCTGCTGATGATGCTGATGCTGATGGAGCGCGCCGCCGTGTCGTTCCTGGTCTGCATCGCCGCGGCCAACAACGTGCTCCTCCAGCCCAAGTGGTGATGCTGCTGACGACGGCGTACGGTTCGTCGAGCTGGGCCTGGGCGCGGAGATGGCGACGAGGGCGCCGCCGCCGTACGTGGCGGGCCCGGAGACGAAGAAGCGCGGGGCGTAGACGACGGCGCACAGGGTGATGACGGAGAGCACGAGGAAGACGTGGGCGAGGAACGCCCCTCTGCCGCCGCCCTTGGTGGCCTTGACGTCTGCAGCTGCCGCTGCGTCGTCCATGGCGGGCGGCTTGAGGCCGGACGACGCCTTTGAGGCCGAGGCCGCCATGCTAGATTTCTGGGAGCTGCTCGTCGATCGGGTCGGTGTGGAACGGAATTAATATCAGAACGGGCCGGGGACCGGGGTCTCGCTTCGCGTGCGACGGATCACTGACGCTGCCATCCTTTGTCTCTACTCCCTACGGTACGTCGTCCTACACGATAGATGGTGTAAGCATGGAACTATGGAAGATGATGTGTGCAGTAGCCGAGGACCAAGCTCATCGATACAAGACAAGACTCTTGTTTCTGTTCACATAACGGCCCTGTTGCGTTTGCGGTGAGCACGGGCCGAAGTCCCGGGAGGCCACGTGTGGGTTGGGTCCTCCCTGCCTGCTGGCTTCTTCTAGTAGGCTGTGTAGCACGTCGCATGCATGATGCATGTGCGCCTACAGGTGTCTTACTATGGGCAATGAACACGTGTCAAGCTACCACACGCTGAATGAGCAGCCGCCGCGCGGGTGTTTGATTTTTTTCGTCGTCCTAAAAATTTATGTCACATTAAATATTTAAATGCTAATAAAAAGTATTAATATAGTTTAATTATAAAATCAATTACACAGACGGAGGCTAATTTACGAGAAGATTTTTTAAGTCTAATTAATCTATCATTAGCACATGTTTACTGTAGCACAATGTTATCAAATCATGGATTAATTAGGCTTAAAAGATTCGTCGCAAATTAATTACAAATTGTGTAATTAGTTTTATAATTAGTCTATATTTAATAATTTAGTTAAATATTTGACTTGATAGGAATTTTAGGACGAACCAAACAGGCTTATGGCGTGTCAGGAGTAGTAGGACGCATCTGTCAAAACTCAAACGCACTATAGTAGTACAATAGTACAATAGAGTGTGAGAGTGTCAAAGTCGAGGCGGACACTCTTTCCCTTGGCGCCCCGCCGACAATCTCTCCTCAGATCTCTCGCCCATTTGACTCCAGATTACGGCATTCAACGTCGGATCCAGGTCAGTAAATTGAGGAGTCTGATACACGCGATCACGTCTTGGTCCATGCATGTGCACAACTTTCGGAACAAAGTTCTGTTGACACGAGTCCAAATTCCTGGCTCCCATCTGGAGAGTACGTAATAACAGGATGGGTAAATGCTGACTTAGAAGAGAGAGGAGAATCTTACTGTTGGTTTAGGCACAATAATTAAGAAACTTCGTGAGAGACATGTAGACCATGTATTAATAGCGAAGACATTACTACTAGGGCGTGTTTAGTTGCCCCGAATAGGCGCCGATCGATTTACTGTAGCTACATTACTACAGTGTCGTTTTGTTTTTATTTGGTAATAATTGTCCAATCGTTGACTAATTAGGTTCAAAACGTTCGTTTCGCAAAGTACAACCAAACTGTGCAATTAGTTTTTGATTTCGTCAACATTTAGTACTCTATGCATGTACCACAAGTTTGATGTGACGGAGAATCTTCTTTTTGCATAGTGTCAAAGTTGAGAATTTGGTGAAACTAAACATGGCGCTATATGGGTGGGCTAAGAGAAGGCTAAAAAAACCCTTACAGCCAGCAGCCAACTGTAAGTATTAGCTTCGCTCTTAGACAGCTAGCGTACTCCCTCCGGTTCTCTAAAGCAAGTCGTTTTGAGGTTGTCTCAAGTCAAACATTTTAAACTTTGACTATAAATAACTTCTTTTGGGTTGAGTTTGAAAATATGAAAGTGACGTAGGTAGATTCATCTCGAAATGTAGGTTCATAAAAGTAAATATTGACTATATTTTATAAATATTTTATAGCAAAAAGTTACAGTCAAAGTCGTTTCTTAAAGACCATATCAATGTTCAAAACGATTTGCTTTAGAGAACCGGAGGGAGTATCTATCAATCTCATGTGTAGATAGATGTGGTCCCAGTCCCACAATGCACACATCTTAACCTTGTCTAGATGCTATGCGAGAGAGTAGCCAACCGTGCATCTCAGTTCTATGCACATGTATCTTCAATTAAAAAAGAACTGTAGTCGCATGGGAGGAGTCTGGAGCCTTGTACACGGAATTTTCTTCCTAATTTTCTAAACTTTGCAGTCCCGCGCATTCTACTCAACCAGACTCTATATATGCTACTCTCTGTTTGTTTATTTCCACTCTCGAAAAGCTGAAACAAGGTCGAATTTGCTTCCCAAGAAAAAGGGTTATCAGTCTATATATATATATCTCGTTATATATGTTGGTTCATGGAATCGGAGTCAACACCGCGATAAATGAGGGCGGCCGCCAGCCCCCCGCTGCTTCCGGTCCAGGTGTCCAATTTTTGTTTTTACATCGTCCAAGGATGCACATGCACTTGTGTCTTGGTAGCAAAAAAAAAAAAAAAAAAAAGAGTACACTTCCAACCCAGAAATTTATATGATTTCTATAGCATCAATTACTGTACCAACTAAGCAAAAGGCTAATACATCACTATAGTAGTTATATTGCAGACAGAGAAGTGAATGATTTGGTATATAGAAAACCATGTCTATATACACATGAACTAAAACATAAAGAGATGTGATTGGATGAACATTTTATTTATACCCATTCTAAATTATAAGGCGTTTGACTTTTCTAGATATATTGATATTGATTTTATTACGTATCTAGATATAGTGCATATCAAGTGTATAACAAAAGTTAAATATTAAAAAAGTTAAAACATCTTATAACTTTGGAACGGAGAGAGTAGAAAATATCCATTAGGAACTTACTTTCCATATGTCTATATTAATTCGCAAATATGAAAATTATCACATAGTTTCTAGGTTGGGACTACTCTTGTACTTAGGTCCCGTTTGGATCTCATGGATTTTGAGAATACGGGTTAAAAAAATCTCACAATCAAAGATTCTCATCCAAACGGTCTAGATTTTATAGGGATTTTAACTCAGATTTTAGAATCTTGAAATCCAATAAAATTGTTGGGATTCTTTTAATCCTTATTCTCAAAATTCCTTAGGATCCAAACGTCCCCTTACATTCCATGATCGAGAGTACCTAAGATTCTCTAGTCTAACTTTTAGTTGACTAGAATGGAGGACTAAAATTTTAGACCACTTTACCTCACTTGTGTGGTCTAAAATTTTTGTGAGGATGACTAAACTTTTGACAACACTTTAAACCACATGTTTGGAGCCTCAAGAGCCAAAGTAGTCTAAAGCTAGACTTTAAACCATAGGATCCAAACGGGATCGTATTGCACCTGTAACATCTCTTTATGCAACAGCAACAACAACAATTTAGATTGTTAATTTAAACATGCATTTGGTGGATATTTTAGTTCACGTATTATAGTGACATATGTGAATAATTTAGATGCAAATTAAAGGGTTACTCAATATCATCTATCATAATTACATATGTAGGTAATTTAAAAGATATTTTTTGGGTTCATCTAAATTATTTTTCATAATAACATATATAGATTGCTAGTTGATTTGTAGGTTAAGAGGTTATTTATGTTTTATTTATAATGGCATAAGTTGGTATTTTTTTTAAGAAAACATTGTCTAGCAATATATCTGATTATCACGATAATCGAAGAATTCATAATAACATATATAGATTGCTAGTTGATTTGTGAAGAATATGTTGAGGGTCTCCAATTAGTAATATTGAGGTATGTTGTCACCCTTTACTTTCCATCTAATGAGTTTTTGATATGTACTTAGTCGAAGTATAAGTTTAGGTTACATTAGCTTTTATTGTATCCAGGTGATGTCATAAATCTATATATTAGTTTTCAACTTTTGTGCTTATTAGTTATAGCAACAGAAATGCTAACGAGCAATCAGTTGTTTGGGCGTCTCCAAGCAACCGGATTTTGAGCCGTTGGATGTGACACATGGCCTGATATGGGACGTCCAATCTTCTTCCACCTCCCTCTCCCATTCTAGCTAGCGATTTTCTTTGAGTCCGACGCCGCCCACGTCCTGGGGCCGCCGGCTCCCTCCGTCACTAGATTGGCCGCCGCCGCCGCCCCTGCCCCTGGCCGTCCGCTGCCGCCACCGCTCATCCCCGGCACGTGGGCGCGGGCGTCCCCGGCATCGGTGCGAGCGCCGCCCCCTCCTGGTTGTGTGGATTTTGTATTTTTTTTGAATTTTCTGAAGAATTTGTGAACAATTTGACATATATTTCTCTGATGTCTAGAATCCATAGAAAGTAATATATTTGTGTTATTTGTAAATTAAATTACTCTGTCCAATAAATTACACTAAAGAAATTATCTTAAATATAACTATAGGACAGTGTAAGTGCATGGACAAAAATCTGGTTGTTGGTAGGTGGCTAAAAGAACCGGTTGTTGGCTAGACCGTTCCTATTGCAATTATAGATATTTGTGACTTTTTTTTTATAAATTTGGTAAAATCTACTAAAAAATGATTTAGGGCAAAAACAAAATGGCTCACAGTTTGAACTTTGAAGTTTGGAACGGGAGAAAGTACAACAGAAGTTGATTTTTGAGGTAAGGTAACACGTCTACTCGGGGCCCTCCTCCCTCTCTCGTTGCCGCAACAGTCGAGAGTGCATCCTGGCCAGCGTCTCCCCGAACCTGGCCAGGTCCAGGCTCACGTTCTGGCCGTTGAGGTACATGCGGCCGATGAAGTCCCAGTCCCAGTCCCACTCATCGGTGCTCCCCTGCCTCCGCTTCGCCCTCTCTGGATTGGCCACGACAACGTGCTCCGGCGAGTACTTGCGGCTCAGCGAGCTCTCGCGCCCACGCACGTCGTACTGCTCGTAGTGCAGCCCCATCCTGACGGCCGGCGTGCCGAAGAGGTTGCGCGAGAGCTGGGTGACGCCCAGCGGCGCGATCTGAGCGAGCGCCCCGCTGCCGGGGCGCAGGAACAGGAAGCTGGTCAGGTCCGAGCCGTGCACGCCCACCAGCGCGTCGTGCGCGCGCACCCACGCGTGGCGGCGCCATGGTGTTGCCCGACTCCAGGACGTCGACGTCGAACCTGGTCGATGCCGCGAGCTAAGCCACGGCCGCCTGGTTCTCGATCACGCGCGTGCCCCTGCGCGACACGATCCCGAGCCTTGGCCTCCGCGGATGATGCTGACGTGCTCTCTCCACCGGCTCGCCGCCTTGGGATTGAGACAACGGCTCGTACACGCCGGCAAGAAAGCGGTGGAAGTCCACGATGGTTTGTTGTCCCGAAGCCGTGCGGGGTCGACGGCGAGGTAGCCGTGGAAGCCGGTCCCGACGATGGTGCCCGGGAAGCAATGCGTCCTTCTGTCCCTGAGCAGGTCGATGACGGGTAGCCCTACAGACCGGAGATGACCTCGCGGTGTTAGTTCTTAGATCGTCTAGGAGTAGATCTAGTGGGTGAGTCCTTTTCAATTCAGGATAAACGAGCCTAGATCCAACCTAGAACATGAACTAGAGAGAAGAACTAGAGAGAGGGGGGTGCAGAGGTAGCTGACTATCGGTGGGCTTGGCAGAGGAGCTCACCATGGTGACGGTGTCGGTGGTGAGGTCGGTGAAGAGGGTTCAGCGCAATGCAGGGCGGTGGTGTCCCGACGGCGGCGAGGCAGTGGGGCTTTCTATTGCTGGCGGCGCCTACCTAGATCGGTTAGGGTTGTGGGTGGGGTTGCTGGCGGCACAGTAAACCTCGTACCGAGTGTCCCGGCCCTACACCTCCTTTTATATGGTGTTGTGCGACGGGGGCTTACCAACCATGGCTCGGTTGGACGCCCCCGATCATGGCACGGATCAAGGCCCCGACTAGGTTCAACCTAACATTTTCCTCCTTGATGTCACTTTTCAACTTGAACTTAAATACTTTATCTTTTCCTATTCTATCACAGATTAGTGCATAGAGCATGGCTCGTCACAACAGTTAGTACCATTGGATTAACAGCTACAATACAACTCTCTGTCTTGAAACAGATTCTCAACTAGGACCTTATTGTCTAAGGATCGTAGGCTTTCCCGTAAACTGTAACACCCCGGTGTTTAAATATTAAAAACAGGACATGTCATCATACGCATTGCAAGGCATTGGTCATATTGCAAACTTTGATATGCATTCACTAAAACAAGTTTACATTTATGTTATGAGTGTTGAATTGAATTGTTTGAATCAAGTTCAAATTTTTGTTTGGTTAGGGATTTTCGAAAACCCATAATTTCGGCCTTTAAGTTTTGATCTGGAAAACCCATTTCAAAATCGAAGCACATTTTGGGGTTGAGCCTTAAAGCATAATTGTAGAGCTTGTTGAGTTATACAAAACTGGTTTTTGTAGTTTTCCAAGTTGTTTAGTAAAATTTAAAGTAATTTGAAAAGACGAAATTCCTTAAATGTCTCCTTTTCGAATTCAAATTTTCATTTCAAAATGTAGACCGAATTAGGGGGTGATTATAAAAGCAAAGTTGTAGAACTTTTGATTTTGAACAACTTTTATTTTTGGAGATTTTTAAGTTGTTACAAAAATTTAGGAGTAATTTGAGTTTCAAACTGGATGGCAATTCTGTAAATTAGATGAACAGTGTTCACCGCTCTTGCTACATCGCCGGTGACCTTCGGCTTGCTTCCAGGCGCGCGCGTGGCCATTTTCGGCGTCATGCTGGCACGGTGAAGCCCGTGGCGTGGCTTCTCCTTGCTTCTGAGCCACGTTATAAGGATTGAGCCGTCGTCGTTCTTCTTTTCTGTTCGACTGCTCGCCGCCGGTGCCCTTGCCGCGCTCACGAAATTCATCCTCACCGTAGCACCTCATGCCAATTGCGTTTGCCAACATCTCCGCCTCGCCCTCTCGCTCCTTCTAGGCCTGCTCGCCTCGCCTCTAGCAGTCCAGCGCCACCGCACGACGTTTTCTTCCTCGGAGCCGGCCGAAGCACCGCCACCACCGACCGCACCGTGGCCAGGCCACTCCAGTCCGTCTCTGCCTTCACCGAGCATACCGTCATGTTCGTGGTGAGTTCCTGAGCGTGATGCTCGCTCCGCTTTAACCTCTACTGCGTCGTAGCCGGAGTTGTGTCGTGCGCCGTCGTGTCTGCACCACCGTGGCCGCCATGGCTGGCGTGGAGCTTCCCCCGGTGTGCCTGCTACTGTTCTGAGGGTCAGGATAGATTCGCGGGGTGATGTTGGTCATAATGGTGCTGTCCACCTCGCCGGAGTCTCGCGGTCGGCGCGTTTTGGTCGACCGGAGTCAGCGGCACCGCCGTGCGCTCTGTTTTGGGTCGCTGACATGCGGGGCCGGGTCGTCAGAGAGAGAGAGAGTGAGAACAGAGAGATTTCTTATTTTCTGGATTTTGAATAGTGCAGCAACTTTGGAAATTCATAGGAAAATAATTACTGCTCCAAAAATTTTGAAAATTTGTGTGTAGCTTCTGTACATGTTCTATTATGGTTTAAAAATATGAAACTTGAAACTTGAATAAATTTTTAATGTTCCAAAATTTAGTCAATTAATTGATAAATATAATTTCCAAAATTTTTGTAGAGCACTTTATAACTTCAAAAATTATGAAATTTATTTTGATACACTAATTTGTCATGTGGAAGCTTGCGTCATTTGGAACAAGTTCATTTTGAGCTTATTTTCCAAATTAATTAAAAATTGAATTAAAGCAAACCCTAAGTGTTAGGTTAGGGTTTGATCTTGTTTTGGTCATGTTTTGTGACCAGTAGGGTTTCAAGATCAGTTTGATCAAGTCACCTATGTCATAAGCCCTAGGTCGTTAATAAGTTAACTTGTCGTAACCCTAGATGTTAGTGTCAGTTGGTTTTGTGGGCTTGCAACTGTACCGCGAAGAAAAGTTGTATTGAAGTTGTTAATTTTGCATCCATCATCGGGCATCATGTTTTATATCTCGCATCGTGTTAAACATGGCATTGTTACTACGTGTAGTGAACGAAGGTGAAAACGTGGTAGTTAATCAAGTTGCAGAGGAGGTTAATCCGTCTGTTGAGGTCGGATCGAATACTTATGGAACGTCGCAGGAACCGGACTTTTCCGTCAACGAAGGCAAGCCCCGGATGCATACAACCCTACCTTGTGTTTTACAAATTGATTTCGCTTTTGCTTCTATTTACTGCATTAAGTGATTAGGAGTCAAGTGAAAACCGAATTGGTACATTACCAACCTTGTTATTCCATATTTACCCTGTCACCAGTTTTAATTCATATATGCCTAGTTATGCTTAGCTATACTTAGAACGATGAAGTCTGGTGATTACCTGTCACCTGCAAGTTTTATATGGAACTTTGGTTAATTATGTTATCATGTGATATGGGAATGTGGAGTAATAAATCTAGACCGGGCGGACTCGGTGTGTGTGAGCCACAAGACATGGAGGTCTTGTGAGCGGGTTCTTTCCGCCTGTGTCGATTAAGGCCCGTACCGTTGGTGAATTACGTGCGGTGAGACTTTGTAGTACTAACCACATACTTCGGTAAGCCTTAACTTGGTGATTCTATCTCGAGAATGGCTACTCGCGCACTGGGAGTGGAGAGATGGCGGGAATAGCGTGTACCCACGTGGCAATGGGCTGGAGTGTGGAGTATTGTATTCTCGAGTGGCGTAGACCCGTTCTTATTTAGAGGATCCGAGGGTAGGTTGATATATGTAGGTCGGGGACCTACATATGTCGTGTGGTCTGGAATGCCTAGCTGGGTGTTTAATCGATTCGAATCGTCGTTGCTCCTCGGTTATGGAGACTCACTTCTCTGTTCATCATCGTAGTAATAAATAACTAGAACTTGAGGATGGTCTGTGAAGGTGTTGGTTATGAAGTTTCATGATCTCAATGCGGATCGTGTTAGCTTTGTATATGATCTTATGAGGTTTTAAATATTGATGTATAGAATTTTATTAAAAAGCTTTTACGCAAAAGAACTTTGATTATTGATAAAGCCATACCTTGAATCCCATGAGCCTGCATTCCTACGTTCTTTTAATTCTTATCTTGGTTAAGTCTTGTTGAGTACTTTTGTACTCAGGGTTTGTTGACCCTTGATGCAGGTGAGCCTCATGAGCAGATCTATTTTGGATCGTACTGCATGACTATAGTTTGATCTGGCGATGAGAAGTAAATGTGTGGCCCTTGGGCCAGGCAGTTTCATTGTGTGTTTTGTATTATATTATAATGCCACCCCACTATTTCGTTTTGTAATAATCATCGGACTTAGTTGTGAGGTTTGAAACTACTGTTTTGTAAACTATGTTATTGTAAGACTTTCATTGTTTTTACTCTGGTGTATTTATTTGAATAAACTGTTGTAATACTGCAATGACTCTGTAATGTGATCCTGCTCGGAAATCGTGGATGATTCGGGGTTCCCCGAGGACACCCGACAGTCTTCTTAAGTTACTGGGAACGTATGCATAGATGTCAAAGGTCGTTGGATAGTGATAGGTGCATGTGGGCCCTTTGATTTAGGAGGTTCTGCCACAGAATGGTATCAGAGCGATCGTTACAAGGTTTTTTGAAGTATTGTTTTACAAAAACTTCAAAATGATTTGGGACAAATCTACTTAACTTGTTAATTTGGTCTAAATTGGTTTCGTCTTATCTTATTTCTTTCTCACCATTCCTTATTTGATTAAAAGGTTTTGTGTGGTGGAGTAGTAATCTTACTATGCCCTATAAAAAAAACAAATGTTGTTTATGTGCATTATAAGCTTTGATGATTTTATTCGTAAGAACGATTCATGCATCATAATTAATTCACTTGTTACTTCCTTCATCTCTGAGTCTGGGTGAGTAGTGTGTATGGGTTGAGTTGTATAGTCCACCCTTACTGCTCTTGAG